ATAACGTTATATTATAGTTTATTAAATTTGATTGATGACTATAATATTCAGATAGCAGTATACTGGTATTAAATTTTAAAATATACAGTCTGGAGATAATCAAGTCCGAGTCCCAAGCAACAGTTGTCCAGATATGTTCTTGTTTAGTACTTCCCTTTTTTACAAATCTAACAAATCAAGACACATAATGCTTTCTGAACTAAATGAGTTACGCAGTTGAAAATATTATTTTTTTAAAAACATTTCAATGTTTGAATTACCATGACAACAATGTATACCGGGTAATTGATGTATTCAGACCACATGGTGTGCAGTGACCTGTAGAGCCAATACATCAATGAGACATGTCTGTCTGCTATAATATCAGACCATCATTTCTTCCCTTCTTGCAGGATTAGGGGACGATGATCTAGAATTCATCATTTTTTATGTTTCATAGAGTTTTGGAGTGCTTACCTATTTAATTATTGTTGATTATTATCCTTACAATTTGATAAGCTTGTACGTAAAAAAATAAAATTCAATTTATTGTTGCAAAGTGCAATATTGTGTGAGTACACATACATGTAAGCACATAAATTTAAAAAATAATATTTTATATAAATTATTGAATTCTAAATGGCTCTTGTTTACCCCTCTATGGTTATGTACATTACATTGCCACTCGGAATCGTAACAGGTGGTGCCATGATGCAATTAATATTAATACATGTGAATTTCTATTGTCTATGTTATTAGAGTATCATAACCCCAGTATCTTGTGTCTCTTTATACTAGCATTCAATTGTGTCTAGTCACAATCTAGTTACCCTGGTAATATAGAATTAATCTTACAGTAAACATTGTTTTCACACAATATAGTATAGGTTTATTTTTAACTATATATTGACACTATTACCTCAGTTTTGTTTTTGGGAGTGTTCAAAAAATGAAAATCTTCATTACTCTAAAGTATAAATAAAATTCATGACTGTTTTGGGATATCAATCCGAAATAATGCAATATACCAATTCAAATCATTTGTCTATAACACCGTCCCTCAACACCGTTGTTGAGGGACGGTGTCTATAACCACTATAAAATAGTCACTCAGTTGAGCTCTCATTGGGTCTCTCTCTCTCTCTGTGCAAGTGGTGGTTCCAAGTATGGTTCCTGTCTTAATGTATGTTGAAAAACTCATCACCTAGTGTAGTTTATTTTAAGAGCATGATTGGATTCTTTCTTTTATGTTGGTCTGTGTATCAAGATTGAATGAATGAATAAATAAATAGTCTTGAAATGTTGTGAATATTAAAGTTAATATGAAACCACAGTCTATAGAGGGACTGTGATGAAACTATCAGAACCCTTTAAAACTGTTCACATGACATTTTTTTGCGATATCTGCTCATCGACGGCATGTTGAATCTTTGTTCATTTTTAAGATGTCATATTAATTTCAAAAAATTCAGGACTTTCCCCAAAACAAAATTGATTGATAAGTGGCTAAACAAAAATAAATTTGGTGAAATGCTTTACTGTATTACTGTACTCATACATGGTAAGCTTGAATTTCGTGAAAAAAACAATGACTTGATGACAAGTTTAGCTAAAAGTGTTTTCAACCTAGAGTGGGCCTGAAATTGTTAGTTAAAACTAGGCTTGCATATAGTAGTAAGTATAAGTGTAGATATACAAAGTGACATTGAACTTCCAGGCAAACTTTCTAAGTAAGACCCATTCCGGAAAAATAAAAGTTTTATAATATTTTGTTTACCTAGGTGGAGCCGCCATGAAGGCTGGATTGCATCCTGGTGATAGAATACTAGAGTTGAACGGTATTGACGTAAAGGAAAAAACTCACCATCAGCTGATTGACCTGTTGAAAGGTAGCGGCAATATGCCCGCATTAATGGTGGAAACATTAGTCAGAAGAAAACCCAAAGCAGGTATTAATGCATGCTTTAATGCATGCTCAAAGATTTTTTTTTTACAAGTGGTAATAAAATATTTCTGTCATACAAAGCTCATTTCCCAGGGTTTTCCCATCGTTCAAATTGCCATTTGAATCTGTTTCATGGTTGTAACAAATTTTATCTCTTCTGGCGAGAGAGCATGGTCACAACTTAAAAATAAATATGACCAAGACAACATATTTTATTTGACTATTCTCAAAGGGTATCTTTTTTTGATCATTTCTAGCTTCAAGGAGGTCGTAAACCAGTCTTTTATGATCTCTTGTGTGCATTGGCAGATTTCCAAAATGTGTTTCAGTTGATATTTGTATACCCCGGTAATTGAGTCTCTGGGCAGTAATTTTTTACACACAAAAAATTACACTATTAGGCCTTGCTTTTTAAAAATGGCTGGAGAGTGATAAATAGCTCTCCTAAAATCACTGAGTTATGGGAGTTGCTACATTATTTTGCTACACAGTCTGCATGTGTAAAATAAAAAAAAAAGGGACTTAAGTATAGTGATAATAAAATTATATTTCGCTTTTATTTTCAGCTAATCCTCCTCTGATGTCTTCAGAAATCATGAGTATTACGTCAACCGACTCAATGAATGAAATGTATCATGCAAGTCGCATCTTGTTGAATAATGATGAGTATGTGCAGCTGAACATTAAAGGTATATCAAGACAGGAACTTGTCAACGAGGGAAGATCACTCAAGGAAATGGTAAGTACACGAACGACATCTGTGCTGCATGACCTAAGATGACTTTCTGTAATAACCAATTTTTATCACAGCAAGTTCTAGCATCTGTACCTGTTCTTGTAACACTATATTACTTATTTTTAAAAACCCATACACCTATTCTTAGAAAAAAACTGCTTGCATATACCTTTATTTTTAGACCACTTTTCCCGGAGGTAGCAAGATGGGGGAGCAAAAATACTTCTGCTTGGTCATAGCAGAACTTACAAACATGTCAGATTGCTGATAGTCGATAGAAGGGAATTTTATTTTTGTGACGTTGATTGTTACACCCGGAAGCACAATATCACGTGTACAAATTTACGTTATACTCCAAAACAGTATGCGCAAGCATGTGAAATGCTGTATCTTCAACTTCCGGGGAAAGTGGTCTATACATGCATGTGTGAACCCATCACTAGAGGGCGCTATATATGTATGGCCATGATCATGATCTATAGTGTATGATAGTCATATTTCTTGCATTACGAAGCCAACTTTCAGTCAGTCAGTCATAAAAATAATGATTTACTTGTTGGCAAACATGGGTTACATGGTGTTTTGCAAGCAATATGTTTCGCAAACAAAGTGTGCCACATGTCAATCTGAAATATTGAGAACATAGAACAGTGGTATGTCAGGCTTTTTTTAATTGGTTGATCATCAAAACTTACCCTGTGTCAATCACATAATTCATTCAAATCAAAACCTTACAAAATGAGATCTATTGATGGAATTACACCTATATTGCCAATATTTGTTACTGGAGGTATTTGAAAATTAGAATGCATTTCCTAGTTCTGACCTGAACCTGTAAGCAATGTAATAGTAACTGAATTCCTAGCTGGTTTGATAAAATGCTGTGAATCAATTTAAAACAGTGCTATAGTTGTCATGTTGTTTTGCATCAAGTTCAGTATTGGTTTCATGCAAAATACTCAACAAGGTAAATCTATTGATTGTGTATACAAATAAGTTTTGACTGCAGTGGTTCAATGTGGACACTTGTTTCTTTCAGTTACAACACCACTTGACAGCGAATGAGAGAATGATCATTAAAAAAGCATTACAGATATACTGTGATACAAGGTAAGCTTTCCACAGCAACCAACTAACTATACATTGTGAAAATTCATGTAAAAATTCACTTTGTTTGGTCTATATATTAAAATTGAAGTTATTAAATTAAAAATCGCAATCAATAGTCCTGGAGATTATTACAATGTTGCAAGAGAAACAACATTCATTTTCATTGCTTAGTATTTTGAGTCATAAAAATGTACAAAAATATTTATCAGTGAGAAAGCGCACAAATTGTTGTTTTTGTATTTTAAATGATATTATATTTGTTTTTTTCACTATCAGGAATCTCGATGCCTTGATAATTGACATATTTCCGATATTAGACACCCCGGCCAAGAAAGGAATATGGCATTATATAATACAGCTATTACCAAAAGAACAGCAAGTACACTGCTGGAGAAAACTAATGTTTTTAATGGACAGGCAAGCTGCAGGTATGTGGGTTTGTATTTTATTTTCTCCACTCATTTCTCCGGCCGATGGAAACACATTGTACTACTGATTCATCGACTTCATCTACTATGACTTCAACTGTACGTAACATTCTGAATGTTCAAGAGTAAGCAGAAAATTAAATCTAAATTTTTATACTTTAATACAGCACTATAGTAATAAAAGGTAAATTGTTATTACCTTGACATTGGTTGACATTTAAGTTAACCTTTGACCCAGTATATCCTTAGCCAATCAGGAAGACTGTGACTAATGATACACCAATTTTCAAAATTATTTTCACACAATTATAGAAAATGAAGCTGAATTCTAAATTGTATTCTTCATCTCTTCAGAGATGGTATTTGGTGGCACACGAAGGCGAGATTTAGGAGGCAGGTACGCTAGTTTAGGACACCCAGAAGACGGCATGCACTATGACAAGTCGCTGTTTTCCAACCGAGCAGGACGATATGACGTGACAGCATCTAGAGGTGATATTATATTCAAAGATGATAGAGATTTTGTTCCAGGTATTTTACATATGACCTCATAATATTGTTTTTTAGCTCAACATCACCTGACGTTCTGTGATTATACACTGGGGATTGAGAGACAAACTCTGGCAGTGAGTAATTGCAAATATCTGATGATGTCAAACTATGAGACGATATTGTCTGATTATATCCTTTAGTAAGAATACACGATAAGAAAATACAATAGATATACTTTTGGTGACTGACCGTGACTATGGTTGCTCTGAGAATGAAATTAAAACATGTTTTAAATGAGACCTCCTTTGATATTAAGTTTCAATGTATACAACCAAAATCTGAAATTACTAATAACAATATATTTTCTGTTTACGTAGTGGCAATAGCAGCTGCGTTATTGGATTTAGAGAATCGAGAACAAGTATATTCACGGAGGTCACTAAATTGTGAGTAGAATACAATATATTGTGTATATTAATCATCATAAGTTTTAGGGAGTTTATGTCGAAACCGAGTACATTAATTAAAGTACTGTTTTCATCTATCAATAATCAATAATTTTTTTTCCTTTTCTACACTGATGTATTTTTTAGTCCCTTTTACATGCTTCCGAATTGCCTGAACTTATTTGAGATGGTTAATTGTCATCAGTAAAGTTTGGATTCAGAATGGCTGCTTGTTTTAGTTTTGTTTTGTTTGCTTGATTCATATTACTGTGTCATGCCAGTGACCTGTTTGGATATATGTCTTAATTGAATTGAAATGAGTTTGATTAACATGTGTATTTTTTCTAAAATCATAAAATCATTTTTAACTAAACTCGACTCATCTTTAAATAAAAATTACTACATTTCCTGTGTTTCTATTTCAGACTATGAGCCACCGATGTTGATAAGTAACAAAAGATTTGATACTGTGAGCGATGGACGTTTTGATACCATAACTCCCAGTCGGCCAATCCCATACGAGTATGACACCAGTAGAAAGGTAAAAATGGCTGTTGCTTGGAGTGTAAATAAATTACAGATTTAACAACATTGAGTAATTTTACATTGCTCAATTTTTGCGAGGTCAAAAATGACAGAAACTCTGGTGAAATGACCCTTCATAAAAATTACGTCCAGTTCTCCAAATCAACTCAAATCTGCTTATTGCAAGGAGTCCTATTTGTGGATAATGTCAACATAGTATTTTCTGTACCCCATGTTGACTCGCATCTACCATTCTGTTTGTTTGCAGGAAGTTGCTACATTTACTGGTGATGAAATGATGTTTCCACAGGTAACTTCATAGGTCCTAGAGAAAATAACACCCAATCAAAATCAACTCACTAGCATTATAAAGATTAAACATTTTATGCTTATAAGTGGAATCTATCTTCACATATTCAGTTTGTTGTAATCAACATGTAACGCTGTAAAGTTTAAACTGACTAATGTTCATTCAGTTGTCCACATATATCATTATCATGTTGTCATAGCTTTAACAATTACCGCCCTCTATGGTTAACTAGCGCCCTCTATGTTGCTTTCTTGTAATGGTCATGCTCATATTTTCATTGCAGCAAGAACACTCAACTTTAAATAGCAACCACAGAGGGGAGAGCAACTCTGTGGTCCCCCCTGAACCCCAGCTACAAGGCACGGGTCCCAGAGTCACTGCCGTGGTACGTGCGCAACAGCACGCCATGGAACAGTCTAACTCACTCCATACTAACACTAATGTTAACAACACCGCTGCCGCCACCACCACTGCAGGTAATCTCTTTAAACTGCATGCTAATTATAAGTAATGGGATTCTCATGGTTTACTGATACTTATTTATAACTGTCAAATTACTGTAAAACCATTTATTTTCACTGGTTTTTAATTTCTTTATTTTGAACTTTTGAGTATTGTGAAAATTTCTTGAACAGGAAAAACAATGGACAATACCTTTATTCTACGGTACATGCTCATATGGATTTAGTTTAGCAAATTTTTTTTTTTCAGTGAAAATAGCTTAAAAACCAGTGAATAATTAATATGTTTACAGTATGTGATATGTAATAATAAACAATCACTACTTGCAATAACACTAACATCTCTTTGTGTGTAATCATTATGAATTTTGCTTCACAATTAAAAGTAATTGCTATAATCCATAATAGTGAATTCATATCACTCAGAAATGTTTCTCATGTTGAAGTTGTCAATAAATGTTGCGTCGTCGCAGGAAGTGCAGTCGCAGCACAGACCTGACGTGTCATATGACACCTTACTAGCCGATTTTGGCTAAAATAACGCTCTGTCGCTTCTTTACACTAGTGTTTATATAGTGATATTTTTTTTACAATTTATATTTTAGTGAAATATTGTTTAGTGAGTGAAATACTAATCTTGTACATAATTCAATCTTTTGAACAGCACATAATAAGGATAATCAAATTTGTGTCTGAAATTCCCCACGCAATTTCAAATTTCAACTAGCTTAAAATAGAACGTCCTTGAGTGTGATGAATTCACGCATAGAACGCCATCTGAATCAAGAACTAGCAGCGTAAACTGAATGCAAATTTACACAATATTTCAAAGTTTCGTTTATCATTATTCAGTAAAGAAATCACTGAATTGATTTATTATATCTGTGTAAAATACATCAGATCAGTGTAGAGAGGACGCCAACCTACAGCGTCAATGGTCAATAGATGCAAACACTTGACTTCTCACAGCCAATCTTTGAAATGTTCACACAACCAATCAGACAACATGTTAAAAATGTAAATATTGGTCACATGGTTTCTAACAACCAATTGGAAAACATGATACAAATGCACATATTGTTTATATGATTTCTCACAGCCAACCAGAAAATAGGTTTCAAATGCAGATATTGGTCACATGATTCCTCACAGCTAATCAGAAATTAAAGCATGTAGAAACAATTGACAATTAATAATGAGTATGATAAGCTTTGAGAGTAACAACAAAACTATGAAAATTTTTTCCAAGAGTTTCACTTTGAAAACTTCAATATGGCAACTGATATTCCAACTGCAGCTGTACAACCCTACATTTGGCAGATTCCAAAGTAATATGCTTGGTATGATAGGTATAAAATGATGTGCATTATTTCCACGTAGATGATGTGTCAGATGGAATCCAAGTTGTCCATACAACAAACACTCATAAAGATGACTTCCTTGTCAAGTTGCCTGTGGAGCCGGCAAGTAGTGACAACACAACAACAACCACGGGTGATGACAGCTGCAGTAGCGATACCTCATCCGAAAACGATTTTGAAGCTGTGTTTACTGTTAACGAACCCATTTCCAATGTTGATGATAGACTTGACAATTTACTGAGACCATCAAGTTCACGAATGGTTGAACTACACACTAACAGTATCTCAGAGGCTGGCAATGACTCGGAGTGTAGTAATAGTAATAATAACGTTTCTGTCATGAATGTGCCGGTACCGCCTCCCGTCCCATCAATGCCGCTACATATGGGACAGACGAATGACGTTAATATGCAGGTAAAAAGAATCAATTGGGAGAAACTTCCGGATACGCAGAACACAATATGGGGCCAGGTGAGTTTTGTTTTTTTAAATATTCGTGAATTGTAATTTTTACCCTACATGTAGTTGAGCTAGTAGTTGATCATCTTATGATAATGGATTATCATTTGCATATTGATCGTGTAATTAATATAAAGGCAGTTTGAGTAAAATTCAAATTTTGCACTACTGAGCATGCCACTGCAAATAAACACAGTGCATTATGGGAAATGAGCTCCTCGTTGTACATCATGGAAAACAATTATAACTCGATAAATAGATGTCAATTTTTTGAAATGTTTTCACAGTATTACAATTTATGTTAATAATAACCTATGACTTTTTCCTCCCATGTCCACTAGAAAAATTTTGAGATATGATGAAATAATTTCTACATAGAAACCAGTGTGAAAATGTTCTTAGGAATGTTACAGTGTTAGGATAGGAATAACAGTTTTCCTAATCAGTTTATTTCAACACCGACTTTTAAGCACAGTTATTTCAGTCACTGAACTATTGTTACGCAAATCAGCCACCGTATTTGAGTGTTTGGTATAACATTAGAGATTTTATGACTGGAAGGTTGGGTGAAAATATTCCATATTTAGTGATGTTTGGGTAATTTCCTTTTCCCAGATATACACAGATGAAGAAGAAGATTACAATGAAGTGGTTCGTGAGTTGAGTTTAGAACAACAGTTTAGTACCAAGGCAAAGAAAACAGGTTTGTACAGAAAAGTTCATTATTCATGTGGACATTATCGTCCGGTTCCTGAGATAATTATTTTGATTGTCCAATTCTGTAAACTGTTACATTTTAGAAATTTGTATCGTATATTGTATTTTAGGTGCTGATCGGAAAGACATAAAGAAAGGTCAGTTATCGATATTAGACTCAAAGAAGACTTATAATATATGTAAGTGCATATTGTATTGTAATTTTCAAGTGTACTGTGCCAATGGATTGTAAAACAAATGAAAAACCTTGTCTTGTGCTGTCATTCATTGTTTTTTGAGCACTGTGCTCTTCTGAAACTCTGTTCATTCATATTCCAGGATTTTGAATTCTGTCACGCTTTTCATTACTTGTCATGTACGGTATCGACTAAATTTGTACAGTTTAGTCCATATCATTGTGTTTTTTTTATCTAGTTCTATTTCAAGAATTGGTGCTGATTATCTTTCACAGTTAATTGTTAACTGCTTCTTTATGATATGCATATACTATATTGAGGATATTGAAATATGCAAATAGCCTCATTAGCTATGCAAACATAGCAAGTGCAATGATATGTATGTTTCTATATCTGGCATATATATTTGATTCCAATCACTTTATATTACAGCAATTTTACTAGCTCATATGCGGATGTCTTTTGACGAGATAAAACATGCGTTGTTGTCCATGGAAACCAGTAAACTGTCTGCTGCCCATTTTCAACAGATTATTCAGTTCTCACCATCAGAAACCGAGGTTAGTCATTGTGTGTTATTGTTAGTGAATAATTACCAAAGATTTCTTACATTGATATGACTCAGTAAAAGATATGTTTTCATTACACTTTTTATGCAAATTTGATACTTTGTTTAGAATAGCGTTTAGTAATTTAAATGTAATGTATTTCTATATTTAGGTGAATAAACTACAAGCTGTATCAAAAGCAGATCGTCAGTATTTGAGCAAAGCTGACATGTTTGCATTGGAGGTAAGTAGTATTTCATATGCACATTTTTGTACATCATTTTTTGTGCAACATATATTGTACAACATTTTTTGTGCAACATATTTTGTGCAACATTTCTTGTGCAACATTTTTGTGCAACATATTTTGTGCAACATTTTGTTAGAAGCCTCTCTGCACAATTAGTGTGTGGTGTAATGGTTAAATGTTGACCAAGGCTCATGGACATGCCTGGTTTGATTCCCACAGTTACCTGGCATTCAGTAGTAAAAAAAAGTACTTTCTACTCACACAACCTCAGCCTTGTTCAGAAAACAGGTGTTATGTATAGATTATGTATGTTGTGTTTATTATCACAGCTTTCTACAGTGCCTTTATTTCGAGTACGTCTTCAAGCTCTTCTATTTAAAGACAATTTCTCTGAGAAATCCACCGAGACATTGAGTTGTCTGGAGTGTCTGTCCAGGGCTTCAAAAGAACTGAGAACAAGTCGTAAACTGGCCAAGATACTGGAGGTATGCTATCCTATGAAATGTAAAAAACCTACCTAATCAAATCACCACTTGTAAATCGTGTAACAAATAAAGTTTGCAAATGACATACACACTATATGTGGTCCCATATATGGATAAACCTTATGGCATATAGCCATTAAGTAATGTCAGGTGTTCTGCTCCACATGTGTCGCCTATTAGTATATGAATTTAAGTTCTAGTTAGGATAATAGTTATAATATTGGTATGATAATAATTTTAATATGATTATTGTATGATATCAATGAATTGCAAAATATTGTGATATGTGTTGAAGAACTCATGCATCTTGCAATTTGATCACAAAATTGCATTTCAAACATACCTATCTCGTAATATTAAATCACAAATGAATGATTTTGTGAAGGAACTGGTTAGTGTTCGTCTGGCTTATTTATGAAGCATATATTCTGTGCATTTTGCATTTGTTGAAAACTTTGATCATCTCAATCCAACATATTCAGATGTCCACAACATTCTGTGGAAGTTATGAGTTCTTATCACCGTACATGGATATCAAAGTTGCAAGCCCTTATCTTATACACCCTTGATGTTTCTTCATGTTTGTGTTTATTAGTTGGTTTTAGCGATGGGTAATTACATGAATAAAGGTAACAGAAGAGTCGGCAATGCTACTGGATTTAAAATATCATTCCTGATGCAGGTAAGACCGCCATTCTTCTCCAGACTTGGTTAATGAATTGTGCATTTCAGCTACATAAAATCTCTAAACCAAACTGAAAACAATTATTCAAATTACAGATGTATTCTGTTTAGAGAGATCATTTATTTAACCTTGTCTACCATTAGTTTTCAGTTTTGCCTGTTGATAAATAACATTTGTGAATTTATTGTGGACTTTATTAACATACTGTAGTGATTTCATGCTCAACTGTGTTTACTGTGCTATTTAGGGTCTATGCTCATATCAAACATTTTAAGTATACCTTCTGAACAAAATAAGTATCTAAATCTAGTTAGTCCCTTGTACTTTTACATTGACTTGACCACATAAGGGTTAAAAAGATCCTCAAAGTGATATAACATTACATTGAGCTATTTAAGTTTTTAACTGCATACCTCAATGCTGCCAGGTCAAATCTTTCTTTTATAATAGGGAATATTTGAAAATCATCATCATAAGTAACTATTCAAAATAGCTCAGTCTTAGCTGCTTTTATCTATTTACAAAATTTTGGTTGTTATTAGAGCTGAAAAGGACTCTCAATTGGATATGTCAAAGACATTCAGGGGATGTAGATATCAACTGGAATAGCCCATTGTGGAATAACTATGATATCCACAACTTTATTACTGTTATAGCTATCATTTGTGTGTTGACTATTTTACACTTATTTGACAGTTGGATACGACAAAGACAACAGATAACAAGTCAACGTTCTTGCACGTACTGGCCAAGGCAGTGAGTGACAAGGTACCGGCCGTATTGTCGTTTGGTGAAGAGATCCCCAATGTAGGATTGGCTGCTAAGATATCAGATACAGTGTTGATGAATGATATCAAGGAACTCACTTCAACATTAGAGGTATTACCTTAGAGCTTAAAGCTCTATATTATTTAGACCCGCATGTACGGTAGTTGCAGTGTGGGTCTACTCTGTTTTTTGCATTCAACTATTGAATATATGAACGTATTTCAGACATGATGGGAAGTTTCTCATTTAAATTGCAAATTCTGACCCAGCCTGCCATTATATTGGGTACGGTTTTTTCAATTTGTTTGAATATATTATTAGAATATTCACAGAATTTAACCATCGCGTTGTTTAGTTACAATGATTGCAGGAGTGCACGCTGACCAAACTCACACATATATTTGTTGTCTATTCATAGGATATTAGCAACACTGTCAAGTTGTCACGAGACGAGAAAGTTGGCACATCAACAGAAGATAAATTCTACGAAGTGATGGATGTATCCTTTACTGTAATGTCTGTAGATTGTATATGGCAGACAGCGCCATCTAGTGGCAGACATAGGATTGGTGATCACTACTTTCCTATATACGGTAATAAGCATTTGAGCTAATACCCTCAGATGTTTGCAGATTAGCTTCTAGTGGGGATTGCATAGTTTCTTCTATGACATGAATCTGTTCATTCCAGAATCTGTTGTAACACTAAATAATTAACTCTTCCACTCAAAGTCAACTCGGTTTTCACTCTGGATTATTCAAATTCTATCTTGTTCTCCTTATGTCATTGTTTATAAACGATAATCTCTTTATTGTTTTTTAGACCATGCAAGACATTAGTTGCCCACAGCACTGATGTTGTGCCTTCAATAAAATTCAATAAAATAAATTGTTATTAAGCACAGTATAGAATCATTAAATAGACCCCAAACCCATAAATATTTGAGCCACCATTACGTGCTGAAAATATTTCATTATGCTCAACGATAAGAAGCAGCAATATTTTTTGATTATTCATGCCCGAATGATGATGTATTTAAACTCAAATCATCACCAAACTTATTCTGGAAAACAATTTTGATAAATGAACATCTCCCTTCATCATAATCACTTACACAAATGCTGGCAAATACAGTCACATGCATTGGTTGATTTCTTAACGTCTAAATACCACAGCAACTAATTGACGACTCTACACAGACGTTGGATGAAATCAATCATAAGAAAACCAGTGGAATGGAAGAATACATCAAAACTTTGGAATTCTTTGGTGAAAGTACTGAGACAACATCTTCAGACAACTTCTTCAAAATATTTTCTGACTTTGTAACCAAATTTGAGGTATGTCTACTAGTATTAATTTTATTTTTACACGATTGAAATCTTTTCAGCACCAAATTTGTATTGAGACTTTGAGTTTTTTTTTTTAATGATTTTAGGACATTTGTAGGAACATTTTGCAAAACAGATGATTTCTCTTAAAACCGCAATAGCTGTGAATTTTTTTGTTTAAATATAACTACATAATGATGCCCAAATATCATCAAAATATTATTTTGAACACAAGTGACCCTAATGTCATGTGAAGTGAGATCAGTAGTCAGCATTTTGGTAAAACAATTATGCCAAAGAATCAAATTGGAACCAAAGAAATTAAATAACACAAAAAATCTTCAGTGAGAGGCTTAGCCCCTCAAGATGGTGATGTCTTTGACATTTTAAGGGCCCGGAAGTTGTCATCTTGTCCTGTGATCTCAGAGGTTCGCTTGACAAGACTGGATTACAATAGATGACACCTCTGGCGCCCCAGACACAACCCCTCTGCCATTTTTTCCCACCTGCAAGTGATTTAATGTACAAAGTAAGTATATAGTGTTATATAGCAGTATATATGCTTTCAGTGTCCATCGATGGCCATTCTAAATTGGTACTTATGACACAGGAAATGATTTATTATAAATAAAAATGGAAAAAAGGATAGATACTTTACAGCCATTGTCACTTTAAGCAGCCAAATTCTCACTGCTACAATATTATGTACCGGTAATCATGAATATTTGTCATTTGTTTGAAAATTCACAATTTTTTCATTTCTCTTGTCTTCATTTCTTTTGCAGCGAGCACATCATGATAACGTGGGACGTAACCATGACAAATAGAATGTGAAGACAACCTTGTATCGTATAATTCCTGGTGTTACTGGTGTTCTCTCCGTCCATTCCTGTACTATGCGTCATTTGGTGTAGCGTTCTAAAACTTGGAACCAAGACTCCATGTATCGCTGCGAGCAGGTTTCACTGCAAGTCTTTTTGTTTTAATCTGTTAAATCTGTTTTTTCCAGTTTTCTGATGTTATTTATCTCCAAAAAAATAATTGTATTTTGAATCGTGAATGACAATGATGTGTAAATATTCATTTAAATTTTAGTTTGAAATTCTTACATTTAGCTCACGGATTTGTAACTTCATAATTTAAGCTGACAACAAAAATTGATGACAAATATTGTGTTTATTAGACATTTTCTTAAAATAGAGAGAGGTCTTTGTTTTAATCTGTTAAATCTGTTTTCCAGTTTTTCTGATGTTATTTATCTCCAAAAAAATAATTGTATTTTGAATCGTGAATGACAATGATGTGTAAATATTCATTTAAATTTTAGTTTGAAATTCTTACATTTAGCTCACGGATTTGTAACTTCATAATTTAAGCTGACAACAAAAATTGATGACAAATATTGTGTTTATTAGACATTTTCTTAAAATAGAGAGATCATTATTTAACCAGAAGTAATTATATATAAATTTTTCATATCAGCATTGAACAAGTGCCTTATTTTATCAACTGCTTAAAAAAGCAATAGCACCCCCTCACTAGTGGGTTTTAAAAATTCCATCCTATGAAAATACTCTGACTATAAATTTTACTGTAATTTTTTATTTCTATTTTTTGCTTCATGGTTTTCATGGTTTTGAAGTAATAATACTATGGTCTCTAAATGTAAATATGTAGTCTTGATATTTTTATACTGTCTGAATTGGGAATTTTGTACAAATAATATTGTAAATTACCAAAGATCATATCACCTTTGTTAATAAGATATTTATTGGTGTGATACTTTTTTTTTTGTCATTTTCACAACATGCCTCATATTATTGGTAAACATCCATCGCTTAGTTGCCAATCATAACCTTTGAGCACCAAAGCTGTCTTATGCCACCATTTGTAAAATCAACCTGCATCATTTTTTCAAAAAAATCAATGGGATGTCTGTTTAGTTCAAAAGTAACAAAGGAAAAACAAAAAAATTACGGAAAATTAAATTTGTCAGATATTAGAAATTTGGCGCTCAAGGGTTGAATAACATCTTAATAATTATAACTCTCATTCATTTTCCCACCATTGCAAATTAATATCAACTTCCTTTAACCTAAAATTTCCTATATGCAGTATCAAATTCATAATATTTCATCCCAAGTTTTCAAAGATACAGAAAATGGTGAAAGATGGTCAGTTTTAGTTTGCTGTACATTGGGGGGGGGGCACTCTCACCCTAAGGACCAAAATAAGGTTTTTGTAGCAGCAACAAAAATTCACTGAGTAGATTTGTAAATGAAACAAGTTATGGTTAAAAGGTTGTCGTGCTGCGTTGTATTCAATATGGGTACCATAGCGACATATACATGTAACATACAATTGTTTTACGCTCACTACATGACAACCTCTACCCTTTAACTTTCCATATGGTATACACTGGCATTTAATTTATTGAATTTTAGTGATCAGTGAAAATAAACGACTATAAAAGTTTAGTGTCGATTTGCTCTTTGACTGAATGACCTGTTAACGAAAGCTAGCATGAATAGTTGGTTGTGCGTCAGATGTAGATACCTTTTATTCCCTGTCCCAATTACAAATGTCTACGATGAGAATGTATTTATGGGTCACAACTGTAAGCTATTAAAATAGTCTAGTCAGTCCACTTTGTCATATCAAAGTGTTATGTCATTTATGATTAAACTGTTTTTATGTTTGTGAGGTTGTTAAAATGGCTGCTGTTCGATGATTATGACTACCTTATTAAAAATTCACTATGTGTACATGAAACAACTTGTTTGAAATCTAGTTTGAATAGATGGAAAATATGCATTTAATCACCAGTTATGTCTTCTAAAGTTAGCTGTTGTTCAAGACCAATTTCTTTTAAATATCTGCTGTCCATATTAGTGTTTGATAGTTGACATCATAGCGTGACAATTTTAATGGATTGGTCTAATTAACAAGATATATGGTTTAAATTATAATTGCGGTCAATAATGCGTGAATCCTTACTGGAATTTATGCAGATGTCTAAATTCAGGGGTTGCAGCCTGTTATTGTCTCATTGCCAACACAACATAAAATAATTTAAGGAGTTTTACTTGAAATGTAACATAAAAATAGCTGTAGACACTGCATCATCTGATGTTATTCGATTTAAAACAGTGAATTTTGTTATGAGTTTGATAATGTATGAGGAATAAAATGGGTATTGTCAGGCGAGACTATTCATGCAATAAAAATTTGTTCAATGTTTGGAGGGGAAACATGCGACATTTAATTTTGGCTCATCCTTTATGAATGTAAATACAAAAGAGCGCCCTCACATTTAAAGAGGAGAGAATACTGAACAGATTAATTAATTAATGTAAAAACAGGAGGGATGCATTGTTTGCAGGCTCCTGCAACTTTGCTCAATTTAGAGTGGAAGTGAGGACATGCATATACCGGTGTTTAAAATAGTACAGCACTTGAGGTTACTAAGTGTATTTTACCAGAAATGGTTATATGTTATCACAAGGATACCTCAAAGTATGCACGAAAACAGTACAGCGAGAGTATCAACCTATGTGCAGCGGAGGTTGATGCGACTGCCCGCGTGCATACTTCGAGGTATCCTCGTAATAACCTTATTATACATCTTTTCCTTCCAAGGTTACACCATGGGAATGCCGAAATCTAAAAAGTTTAGAACAGAATCAGCGAACTTCTTTGTGAGGTAGGATGAAAATACCCAGTAAAATTATGGCACGCTGTAACTTATGGCGTTACGGTGACGGATAATAATTCATAGTACTTAATTTGAATTTTGAGAAATTTATTTTATCAAAGTAAACTCCTGTAATACTAGATAATGAGGAAAAAGCTAAACTGAAGTGCATTGCACACAGTGCCCTCTATAGCTCACATTCCTCTCTGGTGATAAACTGTTAAGTACCAGGAATGCAGGGGTCATCTACTCACATGCCTCATATCCATGACCTCTGAAAGGTCATCTAGTCTAGCGCTTTCTGGGAATATGGCCTTGTTTGTTTTGTCACTAGTCTTTTCACCTTACAATATTATACATTGCAGGCATTGATAGTGAATTTGCCCACACAGAACAATTCCGGATGTGCGCCCTTTCAGAGGTCATGCATAAATAGGGTTAAAGGTTGCAAAAACGTGTGTGGCGGAGGATGGGGGTGAAAAATAAAGAGACCAAACACAGATACTACAGTTTGAAATACATTTACTGCATTTGATGCAATAAAGATTACAACTACAGTAAAGATGAGGAAAGAAAATGCAGTCGTCATAGTTACTGTGGGATGATAACATCCAAGTTTCTCCACTGCACGAAAGATAACTCCACTCAAGGACCAAAGTTCCATTTATTCCAATTCTTTGGACTTTCTTAAAAATCTCAATTATTAAGGGATAGAATGCAAACATAAATAGTTTATAAAACAGAGACAATAAGTCTAAATATGACCTACAAAAAACACTGCTACATTTTTGTCAAAAAAAACATTTTCAACAATAAATAGAGTTGATTGTGAGTTGTTTGTTTTTAATAACTTTTTTTTTACGCTTGAGAAAACACTCAACATTTTTTTTTTAAAGTTTCTTCAGCATACTGCCAGATCAGTCACCATATTTGTACAGCAAGCTTTTCACCACTCTGGAGACAAAACCAGATTTAACCTCAAGTTATGATTTTAAAATTTATAAATCTCCATGTTCGAGTTGTAGGCACAATATCTTGCTTTCAAAACTGGGAGATCAAATTGTTACTTCTTTCCCACAGACAATAGTTTAGATGTCTCCATAGTGACAACTGACCTTTCCCCTCTTCAGAAACTTTCTGTCACATAATACTGTTACACAACTTCACCAACATTCACTGAGTTTGTCAACAGGACAAATTACGGACAAATACAGATATCTTGGTGCAAAAAATTACAACCAAAGCAGAATTTAACAATTTCCAAACAAAAAGATTATATATTTTAAATTTTGAAGAGATACGTTTCAATTGATGATGAAGTTTCAAAGGTTGCTGTGAATATTTCCAATGGGGGGAAAGTTGTTGTCCATTCAGGTGACAGCTCACAGCAATTTATGAATTACTAACATCCCAGCCAATCACTTAACTCGTACCATAATTCCATCATATTACATTCAGCATAATTACAAGGCTTGCCCTGATTGGTTGAACCAATGCTCACATGATAGTCAATCAGAAGACAGATTGTAACACTGAACCAACAAACATTTTCAATACAAAATACTGTTCGATTGTCATTGATATTCTATAAAATGCACGTTTTTTTGATGTGCATAAAGCCTCTTATTATTTTGGATGGTTAAAAAAAAAACTACCTCCTCGTTTTCAAACTTTTTTCCTGCCAAGAAAAATCCTCCAATTTTGCAAAACAAATTTCAAAATTATACCTTCTGTACTAAAAACTGAAATTTTGCAAAAAAGTGTACTTTTTTTTTTTTTTTGCAGGAAAAGCCAATTAATCAAGTTCTTCCAAAATCTCTTCCACACAGCAAATTGCACTTCACCTACTATTTTTTTAAGAAATACTAATATTTGTTTTAAATTTGTTTAATAGATGAATAATAATAAATATAAGATAATAATTTTGAAATAATTGTTTTTTTTTAATACAATAACAGTTTTTTTTTATTATTTTAAATTATTCAAATGCAAAGGAGCTAGTGAAAAGGCAGCAGACGACCTACTATAATCTGGTTAACAAATGTCAGTCGGCCATACGACTTTGTAGCATGTATCAAGAGTGATGCACCATGGGTAAAAATACAATCGGTATTAAACTAGATATAAATAAATAAGTGAAAAATAATAAAATATCTTTTTGATTATTTTTTCTGTTGCCAAGGTAACTATAATGCCTTTTAAAGTAAAATGATAATTTCTGTACATTTTCCACGACAACCAGTTGCAGCACAAAATACATCACTACGTTAGTTGTACAGGCTGCAATCTACTCGCTAGATTAATTTACAAAAAACTTCACACGCGTTGTTTTGGTGAATGCTATGATTGTGTCAGCCATAATTTTGGTCTTTAATTAGTGACTTTTATAGGGAAATTAATCAACTTTCACCTTCAAAATGGACACAAAAATCTGCCAAAATTATACACGATTTGGTTGATATAAAAAATCAGCGAAAAGTCATCTGGCAACAATACAAGTGTTAATCCAACAAATAGTACCATAATTTTTTTTTTCAATGCCTCAGAAACTATATCCTAACCCTACTTTTGTTGGATCCACCTACAATGTGTTTTTTTTTTAGGTTAACTGTATTTCGTGTATATTCCTGCAAAATAGAAACTGTACTCAGAGCACCTTCTTTAAAAAATCAGAAAAAATTCTAAATCAGCAGAACTGCAAAATCTGCAAAAATTAATCAGTTAATTAATTAGCTAACTAACGAGAAAAAATAAAAAAAAAAGTAAAAGGTGGGATATAAAAATAATATGAATCGTCAGTTTCTTGATGGTCAAACTAATTGTATATATTTACATTTTTGATTCAGAATAGGTAGATTAAAAACAACATGTGTTTTTTTTCAACTATTGGTCAGTTGTCAAAATAGACATAAAACTGACTGCAAACATTGAACATTGCGTCACATGACCTGGCTGTAAAAAAACATTAACAAGCAAACACACGATTTACACAACTCCGATCAGTCAACCTTCGAAGATTCATATTTTTTGAAAGACCCCTCTTTTTTTTTTTGGAATATCACAGATTGTCAACAATAGGAAAATCACTGGAAATAAAAAGTAATAAAAACTTAAATATATAGATTTCTCTTTCTTTCTCTCTCTCTCTCCTCGCTTCTAAGTCTGCTATATTCAAATAATGTTTACTATAATAATTCATGATTTTTAATTCTAAATTACAGAGTGAGGTGAGTTTAATTTTATTTTATAAACTGGCAGTTGTCAGCTGTATCTTTTTGAGTTCTTGCTGTTCAAGGTGAACTTTTCAAATGGCAAAGAAAACGTCTTCAGCCTTAACTAATAACGGGAAATTACTATGACATACTAGGGAAATTTCCCGTAGATCACAATAAAACTCATCTTTTACAATGTTCCCATTTGTGATAAAATGACTGAAGCACATTGATGAAAAGTTCAGATAAATTCTTTTCGGCAAAAAAAAACATTTTGTCAGAATATTTCAAGGTCTCTCTTTCCCAATACTTGATTATGGATCAAGACCCGATACAACATTTTACATAATAGCGACGTCTACCCTAATACGGTGAAAACCTGCTGTAACCGGCTCTGTAGACACTGGCCTAGAAGAAGAGAAACAAAACGTGAAAATTAGTGGGAGCAGTGGCTTGGGCATTAATACGCCAGGTTGAAAATCAGCCATTTTTTTTTTCTCCAACTTTGAAACTACTACTGTGTGTGGAAAGCTGTGTGGTATGTGAAAGTAGAAGGTTATCGAGAAATTGTGCACACCTTAAAAGCCCAACTGTTCAAATCAAGGAGTGCGAAGCAAAGATTCAAATGAAGTATTACAGTACATATTTTAACGTTATACCGAGCATGCTTAACCAGAAAACGAACACACCATAATTAGTTGTTATATGAATAACCAATAGAAATATAAAAATAGAAAATCTTGGTTTGTAATGTGTGTAGATGAACCATGCGGCAAATTTACATTTTTGGTAACACCCACCCCATATGTGGCAGGTCCGATTGCGTGATGATAAGGATCGGCGTATTCTCTTGCATAGGGCATATACGCTGTAGGTTGCGCGTAACGGCCGTACCCTGCATAGCCCGCCTGTAATAAAAGTTCAGCCTTTGTTTTTATATTTACAAAGACAGACAGAGAAAGAAGAGATGTTACTAACATGCAAACACAAACATCACAACAAATTTACACTTTTTAATTAACATTAATTAAAAAAAAAAAAAAAAAAAAAATCACCAGATCGGGGTTCTGGTGGCCTAATTGTCATAGCTTTCAATTTTTTTACAACATTTTTCTTTTCTCAGCCAAGTTGAAACTGTTCATCATTGTATACTGTATCTTAAAAATAATTTTGACCGTAGAAACACATCTGTAATTTACCTAAATGTATGTGCTACTAATAATAGCACTTTATTTTTATTATTTTGTTAAATTTAGAAACTTAAAGCCATGTAAAGGTAATACACAAATTTATGAATATGTATTTTTTTAATGAAAAAAACAATGTTTTAAGAAACGCACCAAAATTATGTTCACTAAAAAAAAATAACCATTTATCAAATTTTTGAGATGACCAAAAGACGAAACCCGTTGAGAAAATGGACAAAATGCTTTATATGAGGCTTATATTATTATACACAGCACGAAGGTTGCATGGGATTTGGGGGGGGGGGGGAGGAGGTCATGCAAATGGTTAGTACCAGGTTTAGATTAGTACTACATGCAACATGCCCATATATGGAAGTTATTTATACAACGGAGATTGATGTGAGGGTGTCTAACGTGCATAATGATGTATAAAGGTCACTGACATGCTTCCACAAAACCTACAAACAACATGCGCTCACGAAAACCAGACAGCATGCGCACATGAAGATCACAGAATAGTATGCTCTCATGATCACAGACAACATGCAATACATCATAAAGTATCATTTCCATAAAAAGTTTGGATGATAGTTGTTGAACATTGGTTTGTTCAATGCTGACAAAAATTAGTGATTGTTTTTCGAAGCGTCATACGAGTCAGTCGCAATTTTCTGATCAATTTTGATGAATTTGCAATCAGATTACAAGTCAACTTTGAAATCGCAAGATGAATAAAATTTGGTAAATTTTCGTTTTAATGAAGGTGTTACCATCCAAACCAATAAGGGATGCATTGATTTCCAGGCAGGGAAAGAAGACATTCTGACGTCGAGCAAAATCAGTTTGGCAGATCCAACGAAGAGACGATATTGAAACAGAAAAAAAAGAGCATGCTGCAAGGAAACATGCTATCATTATACACATTCCACAGCAGGAATGACCTATGATCTAACTGGACCCCCCCTTCACTTTCCCTACCTGGAAAGGTCATGCACTCAATAAGGAACCATTTTCTACAGTGGAAATTGTCGCGACGAATTAGGTTCATGATTTTTCGCGTCATACACAGCTTTAAAAACATACCTGGTATCGATCTCCATAGATAGGATCTGGATAAAACGCAGGAGCGTAGCCCGCTACTGGTGGGGGAGCAGCAACTCGGTAAGCGCCGTATGCCCCTCGAGCTCTGCCCCTCCCTAGCGGGTCTACACCTCCTCGAATCGCTCCTAGGATTGGATAAAGCGAGACCATACTACTGATATCCGCCGCTGTATGTAGGTAAAAGAAAACAACAACAGGAACACACAGCGTTTATTATAAGATACCAAGATAAATAACGGTGAATGAAAGGGGTGAATGATTTGTGATTATGAAATGATATGGCGAATGTTTCATTAATCACGTGTCAGATTAATTACTTTGGATTGCACAAACTCAATATTATCGTTAGTTAGTACGCCGAAAAATCTTGATGTCAACGAACAAAACACGACTATTATCAATATTGACTACAGTCAATTATCAAAGTAAATATTTGGCTAATACAATAGGTTCTGTTGGAGGGAATACCATGCTATATACACACATATCACGAGGCAATTAAAACCAGTTTTGCATATAATAAAACAAAATGCTTTCGGCCTGTGCTCAATAGAAAAAAAACATGCAGGACACTGGCAGCATGCAAAATAACTGGTTTTACATAAACCATTAGTGTTCAAGACATCACGTCTTTTACGTTACTATGTCATACTTAACACCAATTTAGCATTATTTCAATAAAGAGAAAGAGACAGAGAGAGAGAGAGGTTCAATTCGTACCATTAGGCGGTGGCTTGGATTTCCTGGTCATAACACGTGCAGTGGCATTGTTTACCTGCCCGAGCAAAACAACACATCAATTGGTCAGTAAAAAATGTAACGAGTCGATGCATGAATGAACAAAAGCGAAAGGAAATATGGATGGAAGGAAGGTAGGGAAGGAGAAATAACTGATGAGGAAGAGAGAAAAAAATACTAAAAGTACTAGATGGAAATAAGTATTAGGAAAACTGGGGGTAAAAAAAGTGGATAGATAAAAGCGAAAGTCAAAATAAAAACTAATGATACGCTTCATGGTCACATGACTGTCGGCTAAGTTTTGTTTAATAATACAGAAGATTCGTGATGGTTTCATGTGAGTTATTGACACACACAAATTTCAAGATCCTGCGAAATGTTCGAAGAATTTATTTTGTCGTTGATTCTTGTGATGAATGAATCAAATAATGAATCTAAAAAAAAATAATGTCACGATTTGTAAAGACAAAGAAAATTGCATCGCAATGCACTTAGCAGAAGTTATATGATCCATTTCTCAATATAAATATTTCGTAAAATGACATGTACATATAAACATGAATTCTTATAACAGTGATCCAAACAGTATTTTTTTTGTTTTGTTTTTTTGTTCCAGTGTTGTCTCCGCCAATAATTAATTTGCGGCTATGGACTTAATTGTGAACAATCAATTGAAAATATTGGAAAATTTAAATTGTTGGTGGTGGAAACAGTTTAGATCACTGTGTATGAGAATTCAAATATAAAATATTCAGTGGCAATATCAGCAAGAAATCAAACAATGGGTGCTGTATACTTGAGTTGCATGACAAATTACGGTAATTTAGATTAACATGTTTATGTCTTTTTTCTACCCGAGTCAGAATCAACTACCAACATCAAAACAGAGCTGCTCAATATTTTCGACATAAACTTTTGTTTTTAAACTTTGTTTTTCGTTGTCTAAATGAGTAAATCGAGCAGCGTCTATAAATCGTACAACTCAAGTATCAACCGAAAGGCAAACTGTCTATAAAGCATTTATGCTTACCGTGAACAGTGGCAAGGCAATGGGTGATTGGGCAAGACACACAGACACATACATGGAGTTAAGTACAACAGGCTGATACAAACAAACGAACAGCACGCAGTGGGTGGGGGGAGAGATGGGGGCAATGAAGGTGGAGGTGTCTCTGACTGTGAACATACAATCTGCATTTAATTTAAAAGCCAAGGTTGAACTTGCAGGTATTTGTTCGTATTTTTATGCACGCATACAAGTCAAAATGAAAATATTGAACAGGTGGTAGGGAAAAGCGATGCAAGGGATGACAATTTATGGAAATACCGCAAGATAACATCCCTCTAGACTGGTCACAGTCACGCGAAAGACACACCACAGGCATATGAGGGGTAAATAGTGATGGGGGTACTGCGATACCATAAACACAGTACACACACAAAAAAGGGGTGAGGAGAAATGGGACACTAGCATAACATTGGGAAAAGCAAACGTAAAAAGCAGCATTCTTTCAAGAAGCTTGCAAAGTAACTACTGGGCAAAAGAGTCCATCCAATGGAGCTCTACATAGACAGAGTAATTTCTACTAAGGCTTTTAAAGATTTTTTTTTTCTATTAAGTTAAAATTTATTGAAATAAAAAGCAATGGGGACTAGCAAAAGTGCAACTGAAAGAAATGGTAGTTTGACGTATGTACGTTCTTTGCAAGGCGAGACAGACTTACCCTTCAGCCCATACCACTTGGACTTATCAAGCGTGAAGCGAATACAAGTCTTTATATGTAAAGACACTGAACTGATCATTCAATCAATCGAACAAATCGTACCTTTTCATTGGCCCCCAATCAACTGCTCTAGTGGAACAGAAATAGAGGTACAAGGAGGTTTCTCTCTATAGGGGGTCAGGTTGTGGGCGGGGGGATCTGGGGGGACAGCATTTGCGAGACAGAAGACATATGAGAAGTACGGGACATGTAAAAAGGTCTGAGAAAGCCAGACTCACAGTGTATCAATGACTACCAATCTTCACCCGTCACCACGGCAACCAACTTTGCTGTTCGTGAAAAATGATTATCAATTGAAGACAGATTGACGAAGAAAGAGAGAAAAATAAAACACTGAAATGGTCACACACGGACACATAGTAAAATAGGTGATGTATATCGATGCAATGCTTGTAATTACAGACCACATGCAATTGTTTTTTTTAAATGGAGAACAAACAAAATAAACTTGCAAAGATTGACGAAGTCATTGATACACGTTGCCAGTACTGCTAGCTAGACTTTTAAAGAAACTCAAGCGATAGAACATGCTCTAGTCTTTGCACGCAGCAGAACACGCACACACGCAAAGTTAGAACACATTCTGCGGATGAGCGAGAGACGTAAAACGATTTGGGGGGTAAAAAGGTGGGAGGAGAGAGGAGAGGGAGTTTGGGAAAGTATGGCAGAACAGTGAACTTACAGTAGGGTATATAATATATAAAGGTTATTCAAAGTCTTACGAAAAATAGTAACATGCACCTCTATTTTGCGCCCCTCAACGATTGTTCCATTCAATTTCTCTCTTGCCCTGTCGGCGTCTGAACAAGTTTGGAAAGTTACAAAACCAAAGCCCTGCATGCATGGGGAAAATAATAACAAAACATGCTCAACATTAAACTACATGCGAGGTATATAAATACAATAAAAAACACAAGTTATTTGTGATGAAGGACGGTAGACGCTGTCACTAACAGCTCGTCCAGCGGCTCAAGTGCACGATTTGTTCATGCTTCGTGTGGAACGAACGAACGTACTGCAAATGCATGGATACTTTTTTTTATTTAATTTTACAACAATAACAATGTAGAATACAATAGGCAAAAGCATGCCCCTTTATTGATATTACACTCAGAAAACAATGGTTAAAAAAAAGAAAAGGGGTGAAAGTCCATAGTTTAATAATGAAAACATTCAAAACACAAGCAATATATCTAGGTGCAATTTTTAATAAAATCAGCAACTATCAGGGAACCCACAATCTATGCAATTCAAAGGAAATGAGGTCGGAAATTTTTTGTATAACATGGAACCTTCCAATTATTTATGGGGGTGGTAGGTATGAAGGGAGGGGATGATATATGGATTTGTTCATAGTCATTAGTTCTTGCAGCAGCAAACAATGTGGAGGTGAGGGTGGGGGTTTAAAAACGGTCAGCGTTCTTGCTGCAGCCTCATCACCAGAGAATAATATGATAAATGCATGCCGAACCATCATTATGCTACTTGTTACGCCATCAATCACAGTTGTGCTTCTACAACAGTATTTCCAAATGTTTCTAAACGACGGCCGAAAAACAAAACTTTGAATTTTTTCATGGGGAGGGGGAGAGGCGGGGCATTAAGGAAGGGCCATGTTGCTTTTACAAATAAAGGGACTGCTCAATCAACAATCGGGGATCTTTGAAACCAGTAGTGAGGATACAAGCAATGCATAAAAGAGAGAAACAAAATTTATAACTTTAAATTTACCGAGATCAAATTATGAATATTTATATTACATTATATTTGTAATTATGCATGCTTTGATTGCAGAACTGGTTCCAGAGTGATATAATAATAATAATCATAATAATATAATAATAATAAAAATATCAATGTAAACATCCACTATTCCAGACCAACTGTATGAAACAGTGTAAATGGTAATCGAAAAATAAAAACGATAACTTCCTTGTCAGAAGGTTGGGTACACATCCATTGCTGTAGATCATTTGCATGAGAATGTATAATTTGCATAACACTTCCTTATGTATATAATACAGACTGATTGCTACAAGAATTGAAACTTTAAAATCTGGATTTTCAGCAAATATTGTCAAACACACAGAGAGGTGGGAAGTAGTGGAGTTTTGTCAGACGAGACAAAAATGCAATATTAGTCATTGAACATTCTCGTGTGCGGCACACATCTCAGCTTATATGATTATCAAAACAAACTGGGGAGAAATATTGAGACATGATCGGCACACACAAAGTGAACATGTATATACTTAAAGCGTATTTATGACTGGTCGCAGAAACCTGGAATTTGAAATCGCCACCTCTGTCGACTGATTGAAACAAAGATGTTTTTGTTTCATGCGGTGGCGGCTGCTACAGCTAGCAGTGTGGTAAAATGAAGAGATTATAAAAAGAAATTGGAACCAAGTTTGAGATGATTACCCTAAAACAAATTCTACTGCCAAAAGCATATTTGAGTATGAATGCCTGTCAATTTGATAGCAATGCATTCTTGTTCCCTTAAAGTGTTGTTTTGATAACCATGGTCATATAAAAAGAGGCGGTAAAATGAAGCAGCCATGTTGGATTTGATACAGCATAAATTTAACCTTTTAATTACAACAAGCCACAATTTTTATGCAACATTTTTTTCGGTATTTTCAATAATTTTTTTGTTAATTCTACACCGATTCAACAATTCTTGATAAGAAAATTGTGTAAAAAAACATGAACACAATAACAGAGGTTTAACTAGTGAACAGGCGACTTTTCAAACGGTTAAACCAGGCAGACGAAAAATTAAAATCATGAGAATTCCAAAAATCTAAATCAAATTGTCGACTTTATTTTTAAATAAAATCAAATCCAAACAGACTGAGCAAAAAAACACACATTGCTATTCATCTGAGAACATGCAAAATTGTTTTCTTTCAGTTCCACGTACAGGCAAGAGAAAAAAAAATAAATCAGGAAACAACAAATAAACATTTAGCGAATTTTCAAAACTTTGAAATTTCATTGAAATTCAACCTCCTCTTCCATGACTTGTATCCATGGCAACTGAAAGCAGACATCTTGGCAGGCAGTTAAGAATTGATCAGTAAACAACAATAGCATGTATATAAATTCATGCACGTAATGTGTAAATAGCTTCGTCTCGCATGCAATCAGGAGCAATACTTACCTTCGAGCCTCTCTCGTTAAAAATAATTTCTACATCTAAAATTGGGCCAAATTGCTGTACAAGATGAAAAAAAAAAATTGTATTAGACATAGGAAAAGAGGAATCTCTAATAAAGTAAGAAAAGCTCTGAAGATGTACAAAAATAACTAAATGTTGCTGCTGCAGAGAAAATAGGGGGGAAAAAATGAATTTCAATGATGATGTTATTATCACGTTACAATCACGTTTTTGATACAGTCACACAAAGACTGTAAAATTGACACTCCTGCATACCAATAACTCACAGACGTTACACAGACACGACAGGAAATAACGCAAGATGACAAAATATCATGAACCATGTAAAACAAATCATTTGTGAATGAATATTTTATAACCGATTATGGCTATAACGGAGAGATAAACATCATCAAATTGACATTGATCATGAATTAGTAATATTTGCCTAACGACGACTAATGCATCGCCAGGCACAAAGACTGCATTGTTGAATTTGTGATTGCGAGTTATTTTTCTCGTGAATTGGTTACAGTTGTAAAGCATGAAATGATGGAGACAGAGGCATGATGGGTAATTATGTAGATGCAGTAATAATCACAGTTGTTTCCCAAGCGAGGAATATACTCAACACGAGAGGAAGAGTTTATTGGAGATGTAACCCACATTAAATTAAATTGAGTCACTACAATTAGCACATAAAAAAAAATGCAATGCCTATATTGCAAACAAATTTCATCTTTATCTGTTTTGAGAAAATAAAATGATGTGTTCAATGTGGCCAATCTTACAGTATGTGCAGTGATCGGGCAACAGTAGATTCTTGTCTCATTTAGAGACTAGTCTCATTCTAATTACCTGACTGCCCATTTTTCAATTTATTATTATTCCTATCTTTGAAATTAACGTCTGTGGCTTGATTAGCCTATACATCAAATCAGATTAAAAGTACCTGGATATCATCTTAACGTGTTTTGGACAATATTGACCTTCGAAACACAGAATGATTCGTGGGAAGGTGACCAGGTCAAATTTTGGCAAAACAAAAACACTCACCCCAAACATCTGCCTGAGATCGGGATCTCGAAACCTAAACGGAATATTTGATACATGTAACCTCTTTGGTTCGCCAGTTATGGCAGATTTCGCCACCACGACATCTGTCGTTAGCGTCTGTTCCGTCTGTAACAAAAAAACAAACAATACGCTGTTATTATTTATCAAATTCGATGTACTAATATTTATTGCACTATCGGCAGGCTCCATGAACAATCACGGATAACATAACAAAGATGAGACGAATGAAGAGAATCACGGCAGGAAAAGAGACAAATGACCATTCTGAATGAATCAATCAGTATAAATAGATAATAAATATTAAAAAAATGTTATTTAATAAACATTATAAAAAACAAGAAGTAAATTGAAGTCATTTGTTTTCGTAAATTCAGGTTGAAGAACCACTACATGATGGATGTAAATACACTTGAATAAATACATTTTCATGCTGTATTTTCTCAGTAAATAACGATTACAGCAAAAATGCATTATCAGAATAATGAACACGAACATAAACCCTTGTTTGAATCACACCTCACTTTACATATCTGATTTCATCAGAATATTTCCATATCATTTTCTGAATAAGTACTGGGTATTTTTTTTTATATTTCTGTATCATTTTCTGAATAGATTTGAGGTATTTTTTTTTTATATTTCAATAATATCTTTTTCTCAAAAATTCAAGTTATTTTTTTTTCTCTATCGACACCAAAATTCTACAAATCAATATTGGATTAAAAGTTGTGAAAATATTTAAACTGCATGCAGAAATTCAATGCGAAATCAACAGGGCAGTGCATTGGAGAATTTAAGTACGTGTGACCAATTTACGGGTAAAAAAAAAAAAACAGACGAGATCATTATTTTTATCTTTACAATTACAAATTGCGATCTATTGTAGCGTCAATTCCACAGGCGACACTAATGATAGCTGAATTAAATGAGTATGAATAATTTATTACACCAGCGTTACTGCAAAACTGAATACAAAATACATAACACAATAAAGACATCATTCGGAGATGTATTACACGCCACGCACACCTACACAACGGATACATATATGCACACCTTCTATATGTGCCCACTAACTAGACCTGTGATACAGAGAATTGAAAATCAGAATTATTTTGACGGAAATATACAACCTAACAATGACGCCTAACAAGAGACATAGAAATGCGACACCATATTGTCTGAGAATGCTAATTTTTATTTTAGGAGGATCATTCGATTTATATAACACGAAAAAACAGTTCCCAGCAGAGCTGTCAGTTGCATGAGATTTGACAGTTAAACGAGCAATATACATTTGACATTTTTCGTGTTTCTAGCATGACGTTAATTTGTGTCGTAATGTATGTTGCATATCAACTGGTTAGTTCCATCGACATAACCGTAATACTAGTGTAGCAAGATGCCATATGTTAGCACAGTGGAATAACAGAACAGGAAGGCATAACATGGAAAAGAATTATTATAGCACTTACGCCGACGACGACAGTCGAGGAGGACGAGCTCATCTTTTATCAATGATTTTACAACAGCCGACAGTAAGGAAGTGGATGACTGAAAAGCAAACCACCAATCCACCAGAGGGTATACTACGCACGAAACATTGAACTGTTGAGCTACTTGGATGCGATACACAATACAACACAGGTGGTGCAGGTCATGTGACTATCTTATTAATGTACTGCAGATATGCCAAGTCCACAAATTTACAACCGATTCATGCGAGCCAGGGGGATATCCACCTTGCTTGTTACATGTATCCAAAGTGGAGCCGTTCAGCTGTTTGTCTGACGTCAACTTTTTTTTAACTGGACAGACAATGTATCGTTGATCACCAAAACGCCAGCTGCTTCCTAGCTGGAGCTGGAAATACTTCTCAATGTATTTTTTTTTTAAATTTAAATTACAATCTAAAGCACCTCATTATTATGCAAATGAGTCATTAAAATAAAAAAAAAAACTAAACACTGCAGGCAATTAGGTTTTGTAACTAATTCGCAAAAGCATAATTAAGGCATCCTATCTGTGATCTGAAAATATTGTTCAGCGTTATTGTCCTCCCTGGGTTTGTTCACAATTGTTACTCCGAATACTATCTGTACATATATCACCATCCCATAATAGATAGATCAACGTGGTACATCAATTGCCTCGGTTTACAAAGTGACGAAGTAACATCTTGCACGGATGCCACAAAAGAGAACAAAGACTGCTGGTGATGAAGAGGTTTCACTGATGCATAAAATGGCGCAGAGATAAATTTTAACTGTTGTGAATTATTTTACAATTTAGTTTTCAATAAATGCAAGACCAACACTGATGTCATTAATTTTTATTGTTTTTTTTTTTTTTGCTGATAATCTAGATAATTTTGATAACAAGCGAAATAAATTACCATATCAGTACTAGCAAAGGCCTAACGAAGGTCATTGTCCAACAGTGTATGTAAATTATGTATTATTATGTAACAATATTAGTCAATGAAACTGATAACAAAAGGTTATAAAAGGGTTTGGTATTAAAGACAATTTCAGTGATTTTCAAAAAACCAACGGTGTCAATTGAAAATAAAACTGAAGGAAACAAAAACACTTTGTATAGTATCGTGAACACGCTGTGAATCATATAAGTTTACCGTAAATTACACGAGAAACAATTTTTTTGAAATTTTTTTCAAATCCAGGACAATTGCAAGATGTCCCAGCTGTGAAAATTACACAAAACTGAGGGAATAAGAATAACTTCGTTAATTTACTCACAGTCTTTGATTCATAATTATTTTATTAGTTGACAGTATCAATACCCATATTGTGCCTACGAAACAAAACGTAGAATGCCAGCTGATACTTGAGCTGTCATGTTAAATAAACAACACAATTTGGTCTACCGAAAAAACATCTACATTGATGTAAAGTAGATATATTCTTTTCAAAGTTTTCTTACTTTGTTACTAAACATCAAGGCAAAAAACAAAAAACAAAAAACAATGTACCTGTGATTATTACATGAGGGTGGAACACACTAGATCTCTTAAAATTATTGAATCATGAAAGCAGCGAAAAATAAACAATCAACATATATCCACATTTAGCTGGAATACATATAACATCATCGTGAGTGGGGCCGGCTGTCGAAGACTGCAAATTGATTCCTCAAAGCAATGCACTGCCTTAGGAGGAACGAATGCATCTGACTCTAAGCTACACGCTCAGCCGCTGAGATGCAAATTGAATAGATTCTGAGGTGCGGCTTTTCTACTAAAATTATTATCACATGTCCATGTATTGCCAAAGGTAAGTAAAGCGATGACAGGACACTGCTATGCCAGGTGATCCAATTAACTTACACTAATGGATCGTGCATACTTCCTAGTAACTCTACAAGTCAATTACATGTAGAGGCAAAATCTTATTTTTCTATTTGTGTTGGTGACTGGGATATATTACTGTAAAATACTTTATTTTCGCTGGAATTAATTTTCGCTGAAAAGGCTTTGCGGTGATTTGTATGAAATTTATTGTAACTGATTTTTGATGAGTTGGATGTGAAATATAGGAAAAAGGGTATATTCACTGGATTTTATTTTCACTGAATCAGCACTTCAGCGGAAATAGCGAAAATAAATTCCAAGCGGAAATAAAGTATTTTACAGTATTTCTCTGAGTAAGACCAGAATTCATGACTATAACTAATTACATTGAGTAGATATAAATATAAAAAAAAACATTGTTTCTTTTAATGTTATTATCTTATATACATCTTATATTTTTGCAATAAATTGTTGCTATAAAATATTACATATAAACCAAATATAGAATTTTTTGTATACTGAATCATCGAAAAATAATTTTATGACTGTAATTTACGCAAGTACATGCTCTACTAATAGAGCAAAAATGATATAATGACAGATATTTTTGAAAAATTATGCATATATCTATGCCAACAGGTGAGGATGGCACAACAGGGAATATTACATCAAATTGCTACTAAAATTGATATATAATGTACATGTTGACCCAAAAAAACATTGAGCATTATATTATTATCAATAATATTTGACTGACAAATCTGCATTATTAAAATTATCTGAGAAATAAATTTGATATTTTACATATAAATAATGATATTTTTTTTTTTATCATCCAACAACAAAGTTGACTAGTAAAGGATTAGATAAAATTTAATGACGTTGTCAACGGCGATGGAAAGGGCAAGCAGTCATGCAATGCATTTGTGTGTGTGTGTTAGCTTAACCGTACAAGCTGTTCACTACAAACTGAGACAATAGTTACACAAACTCAGAATTGCAAAGCCAAACATGAAATTCACAACAATGGGATTGGGGATATGTATGAAGATGCCTTACCGGTGGCTGACTGTAACTCTGTGTTACCGCGACTGTTTGGTCACCGGTAGGGGTACCCTGTGGTTGGCTGTATGCTGTCTGGTCTGGCTGTGGTTGAGGGTAGGCTGGTTGCACTTCTTGTGGGAGAGGCTGGCTGTATGCCGATTGCTCCCCTTGTGTTGGGGTCTGTGGTGGTGCGTACGCTGGCTGGGCCTGCGGCGGATATTCCAGACCATTCTGTGGGTACTGTTGAGGTGGGTAGGCAGGAGCCGGCGATAACTGCGGCTGTCCAGCCATGTGTATGGGATGCTGAGGAGACAACAAGAGAGAGACACACACGCGTTATTTTATAATCCTTAAGACTGGGCGACAAGCAGCAAAATGATATGTAATTCAATAAATGCACTAGGATATAAACAACCAACAGACAATGCAGAAAACGACGTTAATTACATTCCAAGCACCAACTGAATTCAGCGCAGCATTGTAGTGTGAAAATTAGAAAATAAAAAAACGCTGAATTATTAATGATAATTAATAGCCCTGCTACTAAAGTATGGAAAACAAATTAAGATATGGACTTCACAAAACAAGTACTGGAAAACTGAATCCGTAATTAACACTATTCTACATAAGCAGGAAGTTCCATCAATGGAAAGGATAGGGGAGGCTCACAAAATGGAGTGTTAATAGGTCTCTATTATATGCTGGTACCCCAACAATCCTGTCCCTGTTAATGTGTCTTTTTTGGGGGGGACTCTTTAAATGACATACAATTTATTGATTTTATATCTAAGCTTTAGTTTAGTATATTGTTTTATTTGTGTTTTTCTTGACCATTGATTTATTGTATGTTTTTTTCATTCATGCTAAATTTTGTGTCAAATAAAATATCTATCTATCTATCTATCTATCTATCTACAATAGAAAGCTTCACAGTTCCCAATATTCCAAAGCAAGAGAAAAACAAGACTGTTGTCCACTACATGTTAATAAAACAGCACACATACAAACACACACACACACACACACAAATAAATAACCCTGAATAAAAAAGTTGAAATTAAAAATAAAATAGACCTACGGGATATGGTGCATACATCGGAGGCCGTGCTAACAACATCACTGACTGTGAATCACTCAGGATGATTAAAACCACAGTTCAATATTACAGAGTACTGGATCACTTTCAGTGTCAAACGTCCCTAATAGGCCAGCCACGTTAAGTGACAAATTGGAAGTGAGAAATCGTGCAAGCGATAACAGCTAAGTAGTCCAAGGAATATGTATGATGCGACAATATCCAGGCTTTTCTCAGACGATGGCGACGTTAATGGATGCTGTACTGAGCTGTGCTGCGTGGATAGTGATTGTGGCCGATACAAGATGTGACTGAGTGTACCACATGTGCAGTTCAATAATACAGATTATCTGTGATTCGTAAGGGCAGAAACTATTGTCCTATAGATCAGCCAACTCACACCAACTAACCATTCTAATCTGCTTTGGCACAGCCTGAATGCCTCTGATTGGGCAATTCAGATCACATGACCATTAAACCAACCCTTTTTTTTGTCTGGTTTGTATAAGAGTATGTAACGCTTGGTACTGTTAAAAACTCCTGCAAAAAGTTGAATCCCCGGTGTAAGAGCTACACACTACCAAGTAGATTTGTTATTTGAATTTAAATATCCATAATATTCATATCAAATACCATTATTTTCAGCACCAGGAAGTGTTGACTGATTACACATAAAACACAGATGTTCCCTGCTTATTGTCCACTACTGTTTAAGGCAATGGGCACCATATTGCTAAAATACATTATACAAATAGCACAACAAACCACCCTTAGTGCTCCAACCCATTGAGAAACCAGTCTAGAAAGACTAAAACAAACAGACTAATAATAATCTGTGAATATACAAATTAGAACTGGAGAAGAAGAAAAAAACTCACACCACAGATTATGTTACCAAGGCAACAATCAAGCATGCCCTGAATATATTATAAAACATTATCACTAATGTTGTCTATATCACTTTGCATATATATACTGTACAAGTGCTAACCAAACAATAAATTAAAAGTGAAGAAACAAAAAAAAACAAAAAAACAGAAGGTTCTGAAGTATCACCTTGAGCCACTGAAATACAAACAGGAAGTTTGAGTGTGAAAAAAACTGACAAAAACTATTGTTTGGTGTGTTTTTTTCTGGCACACACATTTGCATATTTGCTTGGCATCAGCTGGCTGCTGGAATGGCAGAGACCCCACCCTTACTACTAGTATATTCAATTACTGAAAACATATCTACATCAGGATCTATTGTTTCAAAGATCCATGGAGTAAGGTGGACACAACCTAAATTCGTAAAAAAAAAAAAATCAGTTCACAGAAAATATGGTTTTGTAGATCGCATTCGATGCACAGATACTAAGCACTATCACACCATTGTTACACGTTACTGGCAGCCACCAGTCAACCAATTTAACCGACAAAAAAGATAATGCCGATATCTTGCAACGTTTCTGTCGTCTGAATAGGAAGTCAACTCCTGTATTCAGGATTAATCATACTATATTCACTGTCCTGTACTACACTGACAACAGCAGAGAATACCTCACTGGACCTACTTGTTGTCATGGGGATGAAGGTCGGCCATTTTCTTTTTACCTGTATGCCAAAACTGATGACTACAAGTGCCTGTCTGCCCAAGCAGAATCTTCTACATCAATGAACGCTGCCTAAAACAACAATTGTACGGTTTGTCAGTCAAAGGCCGTGCAATTTCAGTGATCTCTTATGATGAAGCATCAGGACCCGAATTAAATGATTAAAAAATATTTACTTATTTATTTATATGTAGTAATTTCTTCAACGACATAAATTCGTCTAGAACGACTTTGTCTAATTTAATAAAACTATGCTAATATTACATTAGATAAAACTAAATTAATTAAAAAACAAACAAAAAATCCAGTGTAATATGATTGACAGGAAATGGATTGTGTCAGCTGTTCAACAGATTATCCCAGACTACAAAGGGATTACTAAAACAGTTATTTTGTTCTTCAAAATATCATTTTCTTTTTCTCACAGTGTACCTGATTACATCTGATTTCCACACTGTCAGAAATAAAACGTTTACACCAGTACAAGGAACATGCAGATCAAATCGAGGTGACAGCTCGTCAGTTTCTAAGTGACTCTCCAGAAGCCTCTCTCCAATACAGCACCGTGTAGCTGTTTATATGGGAGAAGAACCAGTGTCTTTGTATTGCTGTTTTAATGAGGTCAGACTACTTTCCTTAAAAGTAGTCGGGCATGACCTCGCATTAGGTTGTCCTACTCAATCTACAGTTGAAGCCTTGTAATTGGTTAATTTGGAATATATCACTAACGACGAAGCTTTAGAATGGAATACATATATTTTATTTTTATTTTTTATTTTGAAGAATCAAATTTAATTGTCACTGTGAATAGCTTGGAAAAGAGAAAAAAAATTGTTAGACGAAACAACCGGCTTAGTTATTTTTCATTGAACAAGGCTTTGCTATTGATACCTGACCCTGGACACACTTTAGAACCAATACAAACAAAAAATACCGACATGTAACGCTAAACCCTCTTGTTTCGGTCGGTTGTCACCAACCTCTTATTAATGGGGGTGAAAAAAGGTTCTTTTCTTTCAGTCTTTTTTTTTTTTGGACAAAAAAGTCAATACGGTAAAGAATACAACATTGCTATTCATGGCGGATGATGGAGACTGAAATAAATAAGCAAATAACAATATAGACCGAACAACAATCAACAATACCGCAGTGTAAATTTCACGCACTTTAGACAACAGCACCAGTATCCTAGGATGGCAGGGAATTTTTTTTTATTTAAGCCAACAACTGCTTGACGCGAAGGTATTCTACGTCTGAATGTGTCTGCTAAGCGGAACTAAAGAAGCCATTATTATAGAACGTGTTACACGAGGAAGAACCTACAACTATACCGCTACAATGATTGCCCATTGTGTGTAATTTATTAACGACTACAACAACTTTCAATTGCGAGATAATAGCTTTTTAAATGAGTCTATTGTTAAGCGACCACTTCCCTAACTAAAGTCGTATGTCGGGTCCTCCCTCAGGTCAGCCTTTATCTGTTCTACAATGCTTGCACCATTGTGCGAGAGATTCTCGATGGCTTGGCCTCATACACTGTTTACCTTCTTAGCGATGATATTTACAGCCATCATTTTGGCTATAAGATACACCAAAGTGATCGCCATACAAGCCGTGAGATCATCAGTTATTGCACACAACGTATGTTACAATTTATCGTTTTTATTTTTATGATAGGACAGTCTGATGGGTTTTAATGCAACAAATTAGTTCATTATCTTCCAGCCCTGAATTCCAATACTGAGAAAAACAATAAATGGGCAAAAAACAGCAATTACTGTATAAAAGTACATATCACCCTCATCGAATAATCTGAGAAAACGTGTCCAACCAAAATACACATGAAAATTATGATTAAAATCACAAATAGCCACAAGCACATCGCCTACTTCTGGTATTTGATGCTACTTACAATTTTTACTGCATGCCATCAAAGTTGGTAAAATGTGTCCACATGTGTTGAAAACCGAAAACTTGCCTACATATTCTTACTTATCTAGGAGTTAGTATCAAAATGCCTTCATTCCTTTCAGAATTTTGAAAATAATAATTCAATTTGTGAGTATTTTCTCCCCTTCGGGGAAGTTGGTTCTTCTGCTAATTGCAAATCAGAAAAAAAGCAGAAACTATGCTTGCTTTCTATGCGCTACATTAGACAGTGTTTCACCAGGCAGCCATATTGGCTTAACAGTGAGTTAACTTTCTGCCATCGCCGTATGTTTCAACATGCATGACTAGCAGAGTACAAACTTCAACTAACTGTCATGAAGTCAATGAACAAATGAGAAGTAACAGAAGAGAGAAAATCCCGGCATAATAATTAAAATGTGAAGCAAAATCCTCCTACACATACTAATGAATCAACCCAGTGTTTGGCTGTTGACATTACATAGGAAACGTAGCAGCAGTGAATTTTACACTTAATCTACTCACAGTGTACATCGCCTTTGGTGGAGCAAGCATCTGCGGTGGTCCCACCATTCCCGGCGGCACATGGCAGTGACAGTAAAGCATAGGATGATGAGAGTGCACTCCGTACTCTGCCATGGTTTTTTTAAAAAAATTTACAACAATCCTCGAGGGAAGAAGAAAAGGAAAAAAAAATACACACGCGAGAACTATCCGCACTGA